GCAACACCGTCGGACGCTGCTAAACCGCTTAGGCGCGATTTGTTTATGCAGCCGCCTAAAGAGGTTAGGCGCCGGACGCCCCCCCCCGCCCTGCCACTCGCCTCCGCCACTTATTTCGCTTCCCCATTAGAGTGTTCACCGCGGGCCTGGCTCGTAAAAGTAGTTTGACTTTATTCGGGTTTATAAAAATAGAAAATGGCTCGCTCTGCTCCTCTAAACCTGTTTACACGAGTATTACAGAAGCGCCCAGTTCGCGAGGCCTGTCTCCGTATCTTTCATTGGTTCCCCTTTGGCCCATTTTGGCTCTACAGGCATCCTTTTGCTCCTTTTGGCTCTACATACGCTTCCTCTTGCCTATTTAGTTCTCTTCGGTTGCTCCTTGCTTCTTTGCTCGTTCTTGGTCTCATGACACATGATGCACAGCACTCTGGGAAAAATTCGAACACGAAAGCGACAAAAGTCTAAATTTTTTTGTTTGCATGAAAGTTTGTAAACACAAAATTATAATAATAATATAATAATAATAAGTAATATAATAATATATAATAATAAAATAATAATAAGCAATAATAATATAATAATAAATAATAATACGAATAAACAACTTAAAATGTTTTTATAGCATATAATGTTCTCCATAGCTCAGGATAACCTCAATTTTCCAAAGTTATTTGGATCAATAATGTACTGCAAAGAGCTCCAAAGGGTACTACACAAGTTGACTCGCTCACGGACAGTCTTGTATCGAAAGAAGTGGAACTCCAGACATTGTGTTGCTAAAAAGACAAAAACGGCCTTTTGGTCAACGGAATTCAACATAGGGACTTCTTCCTCTTTAAATTCCTCAAAGAAATATGGGCGTTACTCTCATTTTGTTTATGACTTTTGGCCAGTTCTGTTGCGATTTTTTCTACATGTGACCATGAACATGATCTTTGGGCTCCTGTCCTTGGTCTGTCTGGCGATGCGAGACGCAACTAGGACTAGACTTCAACGCCATTTTCCTGCCACAAGGCACGCGTTTCTCCTGAACACACTGCGTCACGTTCACGTCAGATCACCATCAAATCGGAAATCATTGGCTCTCTTGCCTCATTACATTTATCTAATAAAGAGAAAGTATTGTAACACTGTGGTGGAAATCGGCGATTGGAAGCATAACTAATAGTGCTACAATAAATACACTTCACGAATTATTTTTTTTCGGCTATGCGATATTATATAACTATTTACATAAACGAGCGAAAGGGTTTCACCACCAGTTTTTTTTCTTTGCACGGAGATTCGAAGGTCTTTCGAAAGGTTCTTTGAATCATCAAGCTGTTTCCACTACATCACACTAACATGTTAAAGAAAGGTACTGCGACGCTTAAACGCAGTTTGTGGTTCCTCACTATTTTAACTTTAACAATTTTAGAAAATTCAGAGAGTGCAACGAAAATGAGACCAGTGTCGTTTTTCTTAAGTCCCTTTTCCTCTATGCGAGGAGAAAAATTAATATAAAAATTCGAAACCCGATTCTGAGAATATGTTTGTATTATTTGCATTAATCCAAGTGAAATTAGACGCAAACTAAAATTTTTCCGAAAAATTGTAAGTGTTTATTTTTAATATATAATATTTTAAATAGATTTAATTTAACAAAAGAATTTTCATAATCACTATTGCACAATTGGAATGTTATTTTTTTGCAGTTTTAGAGAAACGGAGTTGCATGTATAAATGGACAGCCGAGTTTTTACATCCTTTTTAACATAGGCTGAAAAATATTAAGATAAAATTGATACGGTGTTTGAGAAACAATTGTTAAAAATTGCCTATATTACAGAAATTAAACGAATACTACTCATATTTTGAAATTGTTATTACGATGTTACGTAGCTTCCCTATTCATGCTCGCTGTCCGGGAACGTTTCTGGTGCCACGTTCCCCGTCAAGGCCGCGTAGGCGCAGTGTCACTACCTCCTCGACCGATCCACCCACCCCCTCTGGCGGTCTTGTAAGATCTTCGCGTAATCTTCCTTCTCATTGGCGCTTCTGATCTTGGGCAGTTACAGTGTCCCACGATCCATCCTGCTGATCCTCAAAGCGACCGGCGAACGCATCGTTGGTCCATGTTCACCCTCGTTCCGACCCCCTCCGACACTTCCCCCCCATTCTTCCCCATCGGTTCGGCGCGTAGTCTCAGGGTCAATGCATGCTCTTGTTGCGCTCCTCAGTCTTGAACATTCTAATTCAAATTGGAAGGATTTCAAGCATTAGAAACAAAGTGTTAACACGCTCCCTAATTAAAAAGCGGTCTTTTCCCCATGTAGCGGAGAGTATGTACGAAAGGCTCAACACGACCAAGCACCACGCTTTCCCTGCTTTGCTCACAGTGGCCACAGGACGACAAATTAACGTCAGCATTATCCATTCGGAGTTCCTGTCTTGCAAGGACACCTCCCGAACGCAAAATGTGGTAGGCGACTCAGCGAGAGAACAGTGTGTGCTTGATAATCAAGATTCCTGGGGGAATGATGAGCTACTAAAATAGTTCGAAAAATCAACGTAATCTTGCAAACGAAATATTCAATATTTTGAAGAATGATTTAACATAATATACTCAATGATAAGTTAATGAAACGGTTAAACAAAATAAACATCAAATCGATCTGTGAACATTTAGGAAATACCGGTCATATGGCTAATGAGAATAACGTTTGGTAATTAAAACTAGTGGTCCCAGCAGCACACGTATTATTTATAACTGCTCGGCTATATTATAACTAGTCATAAACATGAAAAGGTTTTTTTATTTATTTTTTCAACGAGCGTAACTTTTCCGCACGGGACTCAAACTCAGGTCTTCCGTGTTTACTCGGAGGTTAACATTCTTTCAGGTTGTCTCTACGCTAAATGTGAAAACCTGATACACACAGGGGATGTTCGGGTTTCAGTGAAGATTTACTAAATACACTAATATTAGGATACATGTTTTGAATTCCACAGAAATTGCTCAAGTTGGAAGAAGAGAGATGTTCTGTTCAAATATTGTGCATTGATACCAAATGAAATCAAATTATCTGCATGTTAGTATTTGAATGGCAAATGAAACTTGCGAACATACATGTGTTTGGAAATGAACATTTTGTGAAATTGGCTTTCTTTTCGGAGCAGCTTCTGATGTGGTTGTGGTGGTGTGTTGCAGTGCAACGCGGCGGTGGGCGTGAAGGCCTTCTTCGACATGATGCACGGCGGCCCCCACAAGCTGTGCTGTTCGGCGCGGCGTGCACGCAGGTCACCGACCCCATCGCAAGGCGTCGCGGCGCTGGCACTCACGCAGGTACGCGGCCAGCCCCTCGCGCGGCCACGCTTCTTAACGCCTCGCCCGCTCGCCCCGCCGCTCGCCGCCCGCCTCGCCCCGCCGCGCCCCCGCCCGCGCCCCCGCCTCGCCCGCCGCCTCGCCCCGCCTCGCCCCGCTCGCCCCCGCCTCGCCCCGCCTGCCGCCTCGCCCCGCTCGCCCCAGCTGCGCCCGCCTCGCCCCGCCTCGGCCCCGCCTCGCCGCGCCTCGCCGCGCTCGCCCGCAGCCTCGCCAGCTCGCCGCGCTCGCCCCGCTCGCCCGCTGCGCGCCAGCCTCGCCCATTGCCGCCCAGCCCTCGCCCCAGCCTCGCTCCCAGCCTCGCCCAGCCTCGCCCCAGCCTCGCCCAGCCTCGCCCGCCTGCACCCCACCTCGCTCGCCCCAGCCTCGCCCAGCTGCGCCCAGCCTCGCCAGCTGCGCCCAGCTCGCCCGCCGCACGAAATGTAGTCGTGGCATCTGAGCCTCGAATACATATGAAGATTGAGATTCAATAATACCAGCTTGCTTGCCCCAGCCTCGCCCCAGCCTCGCCCCAGCCTCGCCCCCGCACGAAATGTAGGTCCGTGGCATCTGAGCCCATCGAATACATATGAAGATTGAAGATTCAATTAATAACCAGCTTGCTTGGGTGGTGGGCGGTAACACCCTATCATCCTAAACCCAAATCGGATTCAACCTTGGGTGAGGGCTTTTGTTCGAACGGCGGAAAATGTTGAGTCACGTGCCATGTCACGCGTGTGGAGGCGTGGGAAAGATGTGTCTAAAAGCCTGGCAAATCTCGAATCCTCCGACAATTCTCATCCCGTATTCATCCAACCATGGAACGATACATGTAATGGATATTGTAACTGTGACCATTGTTGTATCCGTCCCTGGCACTGAACATGGGACTTAAAATCTGTCATTTGCTTATGATACCCATGTGATGCAAAATTTAAAAATTGTCAGTTGCTTATGC